CAGCTGGTTGTTAAACATTTTACCAGCACATCCCTGACTGGAGTTAGTCTCTATGATTTGACTCCTTTCAGAAGGGAACTGAGTTTGGGGTTGTCATCAGGACAATCTCTCCAACATTCTGGTGAGTTCCTTTTTCAATAGGGATGTAAGTGGTTTGCCCACCGAAGGCCGCTCCCTGTGGTTGGGACTCCTCCTGGGGCTCCCAGAAAAGCAGCTTCTGTTCCTGTCTGGTCTACAGATATGACTCACTGTTTAGTAGAATGCGAAGCCCAGAATACTGGCTCCCCCATGGCCTGGTTTTAGTCCCTGGCTCCTTCCAGCACAGAGGGCCATTGGCAAGATTCTCTTCTCTTTCCAGGAGTCCCCTCAGCTCAGGGAATTCTCCTTCTTTGGGTAGAAGTCTTGACGCCCAAACTCTTGACTCTCGGATTACTGGTGAGGCAACCCCTGAGATAGGCCCTGCTGAAGGAAGCTCTCCTTTCTGGGTAGAACATTAGCTTCCAGGACTTGGCTGCTCTGGAAACTTCCCTGTCCTGTAACCAGAAGGCTATAGGGTTCAGGAACAGAACGGTGGAGGAATGCCCTCTGGGGCTGTGTGGATGAGCACATCTGCACTCCTAGTTTTCTCTTTAGAACCATTAACAACTCTTGGGGAAGAGGAGGTATGGCTGCACTCTGACTCCTTCGAGAATAGGAGTTTTTAACCAAGGGGTACTATGGATACTGTTCAGGGGGTCTGTGAACTCTTCTTCCTCGCTCCTTAAAGTTCCTTTTTATGTGTTATCTTTCCTTATTAGAATGTAAACTCCTTGAGGATAGGGACTTTTTTTTGTAGCTTATATTTCTATCCCTAAATACTTAACACAGTGCCAGGCACATAGGAGGGTTTAAATGCCCTATCTCTCTCTCTCTCTCTCTCTCTCTCTCTCTCTCTCTCTCTCTCTCTCTCTCTCTCTCTCTCTCTCTCTCTGTATCTCTGTATGTATCTAGCTAGCTAGCTAGCTAGTTCTCAGAGAAGATTCCCTATTATATGTCAAAAGATGTTTTCTCCTACTGAAGTCCATCCCTCCAACAGGCAAAGCCAGCTGGTACCTGGGGTGGAGGCAGCCCTTATCAGTGAAAACTCTCCCTCAGGAGGCTCAAACTCACCAGTTCATTGTGGGCTGGCTTAATTCACTGGCTTAATCAGTTGCCTTTCTTCCTTTTCATAAGGTGCCAGGTCTACGTTCTAGTTTAAGATGCATTTAAACATCCCAGACAAAGGCTCACTGTCCTGGAAGCTGGGGAGAACCCCTCTGGTCATCGGCTATAGAAGTACTAGGGAGAGCATTTGACTTCTCCTTCCCCTTCCCCGAAGTAGAAGGCTCCCTTCTGTATTATCAGGCAAAACAAATCAATGATTGGCAGTGACTGGTTCTGTTCCTGTGGGCCTTACCTCTCTCTGCCGGGGGTGGAAAGTCTGTTTCACCTTCTGAAGTCATGATTGCGCCTCTGTCTGCCCTGGAAGCCTCCAAGGTGGTCCTGTCACTGCTGGGTTTGATCGTGACACATCTTTGTCCCAGGAAGGTCTTACTGCCTTTTTTATAATGAAAAGAACGTAGACAAAAATGATTGACGAAGCTGTCTCTGCGTGTAAACATGTGCAGCATAAAACATAATAGCATTTAAGGAATTTGAAGATTTTTGGTTTCTTTAAAAATGGAAATTGATGTGATGTTAATACCAATAACAGTATGTCTATGAAAAACATAACAAGAAAAAAGAAGAACGTCCAGTCCTCTGTCCATTAAAACCAAGTGCCTTCCCAGGATTCTTTCCATCCCTGAAATTGTGTGCCCCAGGTTCCAAGGGCATATGTTGCTTTCACATTCTGTGCTCTGAGTTCCTTCCAACCTCTGCTGTTCCATGCTCTATGGCACCGCCCAAAATGTCAGGACATTAAGGCTGTGAGTGGGGGCTATTTGGCCATGCTCATCATCCTCCCCATTGGCTCCCCACCACACCTTGGCTCTACCCTCTAACATCTCAGATTTGGCTCTGGGGGACTTCTCCATCGGATCCTCTGAAACAAAGGATTATGAATGAGACCCAGTGTTTTCTTGGGCTGTCTCTCGTGCCTGGAATACTCTCCCTCTTCTGTTCTGATGACTGACCTCCCTGGTTTCCTTAAGACCCAGCTAAAATTCCACTTTCTACAGAAAACCTTCCCTAGCACCTCTTAATTCCAGGGCCTTCTCTCTGTTAATTATCTCCTATTTACCCTATATATAGCTTGCTTTGTATATATTTATTTGCATATTGTCTCCCAAATTAGATTGTAAGGTCCTTGAGGGCTGGGGCTGTCTTCTGCCTCTTTTTGTATCCCCAGCACTTAGCACAGTGCCTGGCACATAGTAGGCACTTAACAAATGTTTGTTGATTGATATTTTGATAGTTATCACATATTTAAAGAAAAAACAAAAACAAGTTCTAATCTCAGGTGAAGAACTCCTGTGACCTAAACCTATTCTTTATCTTCACTTGGCTTCCAGTTTTTCTGCCATTCACTACATACAATCTCAGCCAGTTATCCCTGCTCTGGCCTCAGTTTCCGCCCTTCCCCATCTTGCTCCTACAGTGAACCAGTTAAGCTAGATAATATCCTCAGTTCTGGAATTCTTTGTCCCTTTTCTTGTAGTGTTACCCATGACTTACCAAGCCTTCTTCACCTGGAGCTGTCCCCAGCGCCCATTTTCTTCACCACCCACACGCTGCTGAATGGTGCTGAGGTCACACAACTGTGCTGACTGGGTTCGTTTCAGATTTATGTGATCTAGTCTTCTCTAACTGACTCTGGTGTCCCAGATCTTCTCTTTTTCCCCCAACTTCCTACATGACCACTTCTCCACTTTTGATTTGCAGAGGACCTCCCCTCCCTTCCATTCCTAATCTCCAGTCTCAAGCTATCGATTGGCTCCTTGGGCAGCTGGGTGGCACAATGGATACAGCACCGGTTTTGGAGTCAGGAAGACTCATCTTCCTGAGTCCTAATCTGCCCTCAGACACTTACTAACTGTGTGACCCTGGGCAAGTGACTTCACCCTCTTTGCCTCTGTTCCCTCATTTGTAAAATGAGCTGGAGAAGGAAATGGCAAACCAATCTAGTGTCTTTGCAGAGAAAACCCCAGATGGGTCATGAAGAGTCTGGAATGACAGAACAATAACAGATCGGCTCTTTCCTTGCTGCCTGTAAACATTCTCATTTCTCTCCCCGATTCTTTGAAGAAAAAAAAAATTATAACGATCTAGCAAATCCTCAGTAAATGTGGTCATTTCCTACCCAAAGGTCAGAAAATGGGGATTGGGCATGAAACAATGAATCTATAGCTCATCTCACTCGCTCCTTCTAATAACCGTTACATTTGTCATGGTAGCACCAATACAGATCCCTTTGTGGGTGTCTTTCTCTGAACCCCACTTAGGGCTCATTCTGAGCATCTTGCAAATGGTTCATTGATGCTCTTTCTCCTTTTTTGGGGGGTCTCACTATCGCTACTCTTCTACTGTACCCCTCCCTACTCTCCCACTCTATCCCTCCCCCCAAATAAAAGCTCTCCCTTTTAATAAAAACCAAGGAAGACAAATGTTTATTTTAATGGTCGTGTCTGGAAATGTATGTTGCATTCCAAACATCCAGTCCATCCCCATCCCCATCCCCATGCCCAACCCCCTCTCGAGGTGGCAGGCATACTTTCCCGTGAATCTCCATTCATCAATCTGTCCCTCCTTCTAAACAAACACTTTCTCTCAGTCTTATCAGCTCCTCAGGGTCTCTGCCCTCTCATTCACAGCCAGATGCCTAGAAAAAATCAGGTCTTGCCTACTGGCCCCACTTCCTCTACCCCCACTCACTTCTTATCACTTTACAATCTTGTCTCTGACCTCACAATCCAAAGTGCGTTTTCCAGGGACATATAGATCTCATGAGGGCTACCTCTGGGGACTTTTGCTCAGTTCTCATCCTCTTTGATTTCACTCAAGACAAATCAACAAGCATTTATTAAGTGCTTATTGTGTGCCAAGCACTTTATTAAGCCCTGGGGATAAAAAGAGAGGCAAAAGACAATTCTGATCTCAAGGAGCTCACAGTCTAATGGAGAAATGGCTTGCAGAACTGTTGTACGGAAGACTTAATACTTGGCACCCCGTCTCTTTAATCTTAGTGCCTTCCTCCCCCTCCCCATCTTCCCTTTCCTGCCTCATAAGTCTTTTCCTGCTTAGTAACTGTGGATGCACGCTAAGGCCCTCTTCTTTTCTCTCTGTACCCCTCCCGCTTTGGCAATCACATTAACGCCCATACATTCAATTCTAAGCCCCATGCCAATGACTCCTGGCATTATATACCCAGTCCTAATCTCTCTGGAAATTCTAGCCCCACGTCCTCAAAGACCTGTTAAACATGGCTAATTGAGCGTCCCATAGGCGACTCAAGGTCACCATGCCCACAATGGAACTCATCTTCTTCCCCATCTTAGTCCCCGCCCCTTCCAAATTTCTCTGTGTGGAGGTCAGCACCATGCTTTTAGTATCCAGGCTCACAACCCCTGAATCATCCAGGACTTTGACTCTCTCTCACCCGAAGGTGGGTAAGGCAGCTGGGTGGCAGAGGGGGTAGAACAGCGGGCTTGGGGTACTCACTCCCCATCTCACTCCCACTTTTACAAGAGGGGGATTGAAGAACAGGGAGGAAAAACTGTGACGTGTATTCAAAGGGAGGGACCCAGACCTGGGGACTTAGCAAATAGTCAGTCTCTGCCTCTCCTCCTGTTCTGGGTGAGCTCCTCTGAGGCAGATGGCATAGTAGCAGAGAGGGGCAAAAAGAGAGAGCGTCTGCATTGCTGTGGTCCTGAAGGTCAGATATCTCTCTCCCTTCCTTCTTCCCTACCTCCCCAGGCCCTGTCTCTCTGTCTCTGTCTCTCTCTGGCTCTGTGTCTCTGACTCTCTATGTCTCTCCTTTCTCTTTCTCTGACACACACTCTCTCCCTCAGCACTTTCTTTCACTAACACACTTAAACACACATGCCTCTCATGTGTTCTCTCACCTTCCCTCCCCCTGCCTTTCACACACTAGCTGTGTGAACTCGGACAACTTATAGTATATTATTCTATTCTATTACAACCTTTCTGAAGCTGTCCCACAAACTTTCTCATATACACATTTTCCTTCTCCCCATCCCCCACTGTCCTCTCAACTCTTCCACGTTTCAGTTTTTTAAATCGATCTTTGGCTTTCACATCACCTTCACCTCCATACGTTTCCCTCTTTTATAACCTCAGTTTCCCTTGTAACAAAGACCAGGCAGTTTAGGAAAACTAGAACATTAGAGGAATGGACATGGTTTTTTTTACCCTCGTAGTCCCGCATCTCCGAAGAAAGGAGGGAGGTGCCTCTTCTTCGAGGGACTGAGTTTGGCCGGTATAATTACTCAGTGTTTTCGTTCTGATACTGTTACTGTTGCCCCTTCCATTTACAATGCTGTCATCATTGTGTGTAGACTATTTTCCTGGCTCTGCTCACCGGTTTTTGCACACTCCTACTATCTGTATCTCAGACACACTCAAAAATTCTCTCTCACGGCTGGATTTCTGAAAAGCAGTCTACAAGGGGAGGGGCCGAGGGCTCCCAGCGCGGGGCAAATTAGGGGCGGGCTGGCTGACTTGGCTAAATTATCTCCCATCTATACTGAGATAAGGACGCCCGGGAGAGAAACCTGACAAAATTAACTCCCGCCAGAGGTTACAGTCATTTCCTCCTCCCCCAGCCAACCTTCTTCTCGTCGCCACCAACCTCACCTCTGCTCTTGTCCACCCTCCGGAGACTCAACAGCTGCGTGCAGCCTCCTGATGGGAGCCGGCGGCCTGGGATCGGGGGACCCCCTTCATCTCCACCACTCACTTCCAGCTGGGACCCAGGTAAGAGGGGCAAGAAGCTTAGCAAGCTGGGGGGAGGCGAGGCACCGGGTCCATTTGGCTGTGCTGCCCCTTCCTCGAGGGAGGTTGGGACACTAAGCCGCGTGCGTTAGGCAGGGAGAGACCATAGCCTTAGTAGGGACAACCGCATTATTGGCCGCAGGGAGACAACGGGAGCCCGACTGTCTGACTGCGCCGGGGAACTAGTGGCGGGTCCCGAATCCTAGCCAGACCGAACTCTCCAGACTGGATGGGCACCGTGAAAGAACTCTGCGGGAGGGAGGCCAGGCAGGGGCCAGAGTGGGTGAGGCATATTCACTTTCCCTCTTGCTTTCCTCTTCTAAAATGAGGCGGCTGGACTCAATGATCGCCAGGGTCCCTTCCAGCCCAAAATCTAAGATTCTTTCCCCTCCCCCACCGGAGCCTCAATTTCCTCACCTGTAAAGTGAGGGAGTTGCACTAGAAGGCCTCTAACGTCCCTTCTATCCCTACATTTGCGGTCCTAGGACCCCTTTGGCTTCTCTAAAGCCAACGCTCTGTCTTTGCTTTTCTTCCAAGTTGTCAGCAGAGGATCGGGTCGCATACAAAATGCCTAGAAAGAGCTCATGCTATAATCAAATGAATTGTCCAACAAAATCAGTGTGATCCATTTACTGCCATGGATTACCATAGTGAGAATAACCACCAGCCTTCCCATAGCACTTTAGCATCTGACAGGCAATTCACAAATATCTCATTTGATCCTCAGGACAACCCTTCGAGGTAGCAGCTATTGTAATTCCATTTTACAGATGAGGAAACTGAGGCTCAAAAAGTTCAAAGTGACTTCAGAGGTCCCTCCAGCTCTAAGTTTATGATTTTAGATCTAAAAATGATACCACAGGGCTCAAAAGGGACTTTAGAGGGCATCGAGGTCTGATTTTACAGGGCAGGAGACAGAGGCTCAGAGCTCTAAAGTGACTGTGGGAGCTGGGATTCCAACCTCCGTCCTTCATCTCCAGTTTCTTTGTTCTACTCCTGACTTTCCGTGGCCTGGAACATGTCTTACTGTAGATGCCCTTAGCCCTGGCTTCAGGGCGGGTCTCTCATTACCTAAAGTGCCTCTGGGGTCTACTCACTTGGAGATGATGCCAGGGTCTGAGGTTGAACCCTCTGGAGAGGACTGTAGGCTGGGGGCTAGGACAGAGCTGGGACCTTGGGCATTGCAGGCACCATCTCTTGGCCTGACTCCTCAGCTGTGTTTGACTGAAGAGGCAGGTGATAGCAGGTCTGCAAGAACTCGTCAGGATCTGGGAGCTGCTCTGACATCTTGTCTATAGTTTATTTGAAGCTGGGCCACAGGCCAGGCTGTTTTAAGCTGTTTTCCCAAATCTGCCTCCCACAGTCTCTCTGCTAAAGTAGAGAGCCTTCTGACTTTAGCCTAAGCTGGGAACAGATCTAGGAAGGCTCATAGTTTTTTAGAGCTAGAACAAACCTTAGAGGTCAACTGTGTGATCTTATTTTACAGAGGGGTATTCTGAAGCCCTGAGAAGGTGAGATGACTTGGTCAGGGTCACATAGGTAGTAAATGTTGGCCTCAGGATGGGCATACTGGATCTGGTGTTGGGAAGAGCCAAGTTCAAACTGCAGCACAGACACGTCTGTGCTATGTGACCCCGGGAAGTCCCTACATCTTCCTGAGCCTCTCTTTCCCCATCTGTGAAATGGGGCTGAATAGCCCCGATCTTGTTGCCCACAAGGTGGTGTTATGAGGACCAAGTGAGCTCGTGCGTGAGAGCTTTGTAAGCCTGAGACCCTACGTGTGAGCTGAGAGTCTTCGTTTTGGGCATTTGGCAGACCCCACGACACGTGAGCTGTGGTTTGCCTCTTGTTTGGGGAATGGGACACCATTCATATTCTGTGCCTGTCCACTTCTCCACTCCCCTCCTCCCTCAGCTTTACCACTTCCAGTGTGATTCTCCTCTCCTGCCTCAATTTCCTCATCTATAAAATGGGGGGGGGTTGGACTAACTGACCTCCAAGGCTCCTTCCATCTGATCATCTTTGATCCTCCAATGTCTTTCTGCCTACCTGAATTCTGGGCATTCTTTAAGGCTCAGCTCAGAGCCTTCCTCAACACCTCTCCCTCCCCAATCTCCCCCCCTCCTCCAACCTAGAAGCAGTTACATGGCACAGTGGAGAGGGTACTGGAATCTTGAAGAGCTGAGTTCAAATCCTGCCTCTGACATTTATTAGCTGTGGGACTCTGAAGTGACTTAACCTCTCTCTGCTTCAGATTCCTCAGCTATAAAACCAAGAGAGTTCTAACACCCAGCTTACATTCCGTCCTTCTCACCCCCTCCTGGGAGCTCCCACAGTGTTAGCTCATTCAGCCATCACATACCCTTGTATCTTGTTTATGAATGCTTTCTAGCAGCATCTCCCTGGTTGGAAGTCCCTCAATTGCAGGGATGCCTTGCTGGGGAACCTCACAGTGCCCAGTATGGGGCTGGAGACACGCGTGGCCCAGCTCTGCATTTGAGGAGGTTTCCTCAGGCAGTGGCCCGAAGCTTGGTTGAAGGCTCTTGGGCAGCCTAGCCCTTGGCCCTCCATCCTCAGTGGGCAGCAAGGTCCGGGGGCTGCCCAAACCTGGCCCACTTTCTCAGAGGGGGCAGCAGTCTCCATAGCTGGGTCTCAGCCCTTTTCCTTCTGCTGTTGTTCCCATCTCGCTTCCTCTTGGCATATCAGATGGGGGTGGCCAGCGCTGGCAGCATTAGGCATCACTGGGCCTGCAGACTCACTAGTGGAGACCAGCCACTGGAGAGGATGGTCTGAGCAGGTTGAGAGGTACCTGGGGGAGTCAGGCCAAGACCCAAAGCACTTAGCTGCAGGATGACAGCTTCCTGCCCTCACCATCCATCCCCATCACCCACTGCTTCTCTGCAAAGGCAAGGAGGACTTAGGAACGGCTCTCTGGGAAGAGCAGGTCAGAAGCAGAACTGTCCCCTGCTCCCAGTCCCCATCCCTCCAGCCGAAGGGGCAGAGAACAGACCTGGCTTTCTAGGGGTCTAGCAGAGGGAGGGACATAAGGATGACGGCTTCAGGAGGCCAGGCTAAGGGAAAGAGTTTTGTTTTGACACTGGGGGTGATGGGAACACATTTATGAACAAGAGGAAGTGGTAGGGTAGAGATGGGAGAGAAAGGGAAGGAACAGCTCATTTGGTGAGCTATTAAACTGTAGGTTTATCTGTGGTTAGATGATGGGGAGAAAAGGTGAGTCTGTCCAATTGCTTTTAAAAAGTTTCTATAACTGCATTTTGATATAATTGGCTTCCTTTGTGATCCTATGTATTTTTATGCATTTAACATTATTCACTAATAACATTAATCATGCATTAACATTATTATGGAGAAGGGATCCATGCGTCTTATCAGACTGCCCAAAGGGGACCATGGCAGAAACACAATTTAAGAGCTTTTATCCTTCCTAGCTGTGACCCTGGGCAAGTCACTTAACTCCAATTGCCAAAAAAAAAAAAGCTTTTATCTTAGAGGATGGGGAGGGAACAGGATGAAGGGGGAAAAAGTCTTTGGAGACCGAGGTTAGGTGTTGTCTGAAACAGTACTGCAGGTCCACCTCTGAGCTTTTGCCCAGGCTGTGCCCTGTGCCTGGAACACTTTCCCTCCTGTTCTCAGCATGCTCAGCCTCCTTCAAAGTTCAGCTCCAGGACTGCTTCCTACTCAGGGAAGTCTGACTTCCCCTCAGGTACAGATGCTCTCTCCATCAGAAACAGCACAAATAATTACATAAGATTTTGCACTGACTTTTCTGAACAGGTTGGGAGACCAGGGGGGATTGACCGGGAGGTCAAGGTGAGGACAAACAGGAGATGAAGGGACCTAGATCCCAGGGGAACGTTGGGAGAACTGAGCTTTGTGAGGACAAAGAAGAACGGGATGGGGTGGCACACGACAGCTGAACTGCATAGGATGAATAAGTAGGGAGGTGACCCCGGAGACGAAGAGAGGCTGGCATGCCTGCCAGATGATGCTCAGGATGGCAGGCAAGGAATCTGCAGAGCACACCCTGCCCCCTCCACGTGGGGCCTCCTCAGTGGCTAGAAGCAATGGAGAGGAAGTTCCTTCCAGTTCTGACACTGTATTTCAGGCTTAAAGGTCTTGGGGAATCCTGGTTTTATTTCTTAAGTTCAGAATAAGATTAATAAAATGATGATTAAAAAAAAAAAGGCAGAAAGCCAAGGCTGCAAGTAGTCAAGTGGGATTAGCACAGGGTAAAGGGTGGACATGGGAGGGGGAGAACCCTGGCCCTGCAAGGTTCTGAGGGCAGAGGAGGGGCCCCAGGGGCCCTACAGCTCAGCACGGCCTTTCCCATGCAGGACCCCCAGACGTCGTCCAACATCTCCCTGTGCCCCGTCTTGGAGTACATGAGTAACGTCACGAGCCACACCTACTCCAACAGGCGCTACATTGACTACGCGTCCGTGACCCTGCACGGGCTGGTCTCTCTGCTGGGCATGGTGGAGAACGCCGTCATCCTCTTCGTGGTTGGCTGTCGCATGCATCAGACGGTGGTCACCACCTGGGTGCTGCACCTGGCACTGTCGGACCTGCTGGCCACCGCCAGCCTGCCCTTCTTCACTTACTTCCTGGCCGTGGGCCACACGTGGAAGCTGGGCACCACCTTCTGCAAGCTGCACTCCTCCATCTTCTTCCTGAACATGTTTGCTAGTGGCTTCCTGCTCAGTGCCATCAGCCTGGATCGCTGTCTGCAGGTGGTGAAGCCCGTCTGGGCCCAGAACCGCCGCACGGTGGCCGCGGCCCGCAAGGTCTGCCTGGTGCTCTGGGGCCTGGCCCTACTCAACACCATCCCCTACTTCCTATTCCGTGACACCATCACACGGCAGGACAGCCGAATTATGTGCTACTACAACGTCCTGCTCCATAACCCTGGGACAGACAGGGATGCCACCTGCAGTCGCCGCCAAATGGCCCTAGCGGTCAGCAAGTTCCTGCTGGCTTTCGCCATCCCCCTGGGCATCATCGGCGCCTGCTACGTGGCCGTGAGCCTGCAGGTGCGCCACCGCTGCCGCCATCACCCCAGCCGCTTTGTACGCCTGGTGATGGCGGTCATTGCCGCCTTTGTCCTCTGCTGGCTGCCCTACCACGTCTTCAGTCTGCTGGAGGTCCAGGCCCACCATGACCCCAGTCTGCGCCCGCTGGTGCTGCTGGCCCTGCCCTTTGCGACCAGCCTGGCCTTCATCAACAGCGTGGTCAATCCCTTCCTCTATGTGCTGACCTGCCCAGACGTGCTCGAGAAGCTGCGTCACTCCCTGCGCTGCGTGCTCGAGAACGTGCTGGTGGAGGACGATGAGTTTGGCTGCAGCAGCAGCCGCAGGCACCGGAGCTCCCGGGCGGCCTCCTCGTCCAGATCCTCCTCCACGTCCAGCTCCCCGGGCTTCCGGAGCCGCTGGCTCACCTGGGTGGGGGCCAGGACGGCTGGACAGCCAGGGCGGGCTCCAGCCCCAGCTGAGCTGCAGGAGGAGGTTTCCTTGAAATGAGGCTGCCAGCTGGGATGGGGGGCATGCCTCCTCTTCCAAATATGACATCCCACCATTCTACAGGCCACCCACTGCCCATTCCCCGTCTCTTGTAGCACACCAATCCCTCTGGGAAGGGTCATTCATTAAGCCACAGGATCAAACATATACAAATGGAGGTGGCCTTGGACGTCAGCTAAATCCACAGCCATTGTTTTAGAGATAACTCAGATCAACCCCATTTTAGAGATGGGGAAACTGAGGTCCAAAGAGATGAATAAGCTTGCTCAGGGGTGCAGGTTGGTAACCAGAGGTAGAATGTGAAGTTATCTTCTGATTCTAAATCACTTCACCAAATCATTGACATTTGAAAGGTAATGAATTTATTGGATCAATTTCTCCAGGAATGGGCACATCCTCAGGTTACAGGGCAACCCAAAACATGGACTCACGACCTCAGTGGCTCTCAGGGATAGCTTCTCCCCCTCCCCCCCCAGATCTTCCCAAAGGACCACCAAGGGGCCCTTCCCTCCCATCCACATCCTCTGCAACGTCTCAAGCTGGGGGGAAGAAGGAACCCATATTTGTTGTTTCTCCCTGGGCTGGCCCATGGGCTCGTGAGTCTTGAGGGCAGGGGGGTGTCCCTGCAGCTCCTCTTCCAATGCCAGGGGGCATGGAGTGTAGGGAACAGAGACTCCTGGTTGGCAGCCAGATGCCCTCTGCCCCCCCCCCCACGCCTGTGACAGACAATAAAATGGCACATATCCCTTGTCTCGTGTCCGTGTTGCGAAAGGCTAGCCGGGAGGAGACAATATTTACCGCTCACAAAGAGACAAAGTCTGCTCCCCTCCCCTGGTCCAGCCACCGGCCCTTCTGTCCAGATCTCAGGGCTCCAAGGGGCAAGGCCCCCCAAGGTCCCCAAAGTACCCAAGGTCTCAGCCTGGGCTTCCTCCACTGCTGTCCTTGGGAACGAATGTCCGGGTGGATCGAGTCCCCGCAGCCATCACAGGTCCCTGGAGGTGCCAATAGCCACAGGGCTGGGGCTAGAAGCCGAGGGACAGCCAGGCCCCCGGCACCCACTCATTCCTTGGGCACCGGGCGCCGCGGGGGCTGCTTCTGCAGAAGCGCCAAGGTGTCCCTCTTCTCGATGCGCCGAAGCTGCTTTTTCTTGGCCCGCTTGAGCTTGCTGGGGTTCCGGATCTAGTGGGGAGCAAGAGGGGAAAAAGTTCCTGAGACCCTTCTGGCCCCCAGCTTCTCCTCTCTTTCTCATACTCCAGAGACTCCCACACAGGTCCCTACTGCTTGGGGTCGAACCTCCCCTCGTTCCCAGTACCCTGAGACAGCGACAAACGCAAACTAATCTGCCTCTGCCCACACGCCGGGGTGGGGCTGGGGGCTCTAGTGCACTCACCACTTGGACGATCTCTGCCTTCCGCTCATTCTCCAAGCGCCTCTTCAGGTTCTCCGCCCGCCGCCTCTTCTTCTCCTGGAGGGAAGAGCAATGGGACAGATTCTACAGAGCTCAGCAAAGCCCAGGGAGAGGGGATCCTGGGCGGGCCCAGGAGGAGCACCTCCCCCCTCTGTCCACCTGGGAGAGGACAGGGCTTACATATGCCCAAGCTCCCCCTTCCCGGCCTGAGGTTCCATGTTCTAAGCCCTTCCCAGCTGTGACGTTCCATGTTCTAAGGCCCCTCCCAGCTCTGACAGGCCCGGTTCCTCAGCTGTCATTCCATGTTCTAGGGCCTCTCCCAGTATTATAAATCTATAGGCTTATACATGATTCTATAAAGAGCCTGAAGGGACCTCAAATCATCTAACCCAACATCTCCTTCCCATTTTATTGAGAAAACAGAAGCTCAGCAGTGACTTGCCCAAGGTCACAGCACTGAACCTTAACAAAGGCTAGATCTGAATGACATGATGTGCCGGAGTCCCCGCCCCATGGAGAGCAGAGGTGGACACCACCTAACGTGGCCATAACCTAGGGACAACGGGGACACAGGATGGCAGGTTATCTGGAGGCATCATCTACGTGTCAGAGTAAAGACAATGCTGGATCCAAGTTCAAATCCAGTCTGGGATGCTTCCTAGCTGGACAAGGCACTGAGCCACTGGCTGCCTCAGTTTCCTCATCTGTAAAATGGGGAATGACAATAATAGTGCCTACTTCCCAAGGCTGCTGTGAGGATCAGACGATACAAGACTGCAGAATGCTTTGTGAATGTACAAGTGCTACATAAACATCACTATTATTACATTTCCGTCTCTGACTCCATGTTCACACCTCACTCCCTGGGGCCCGTGCATCTGGTTGGGTTTTGGCAATCAGAGGTGGCTCCCTAGAGGAGATATAGGGGCATGAGGTCAGGGAAAGGTCAAAGCCACACTGCAGGGATGGGGGACTGAGGCCAGGTGGGGAATGGGGGCAGGGGCCAGCAGCTTGGGAGGGGGAGGAGAACTAGGCTTGAGACACTTCCTCTTGCCCAAGAGACAGAGTGAGCAGCACGATCCCAGGGCATGCTGTGGCCCTGCGGCCCCTCCAGGTACAGGCCGGGGCACAGCTCCAAGGGAATCCTAGGACGTTTATGACAAGGGGCCCAGAGAGGGGAAGCTGGGCCTGCATCGCACTGTCTCCTGGGCTGGGCAGCAAGGGAATGGTCAGTGGTCAGGGCCATCTCCAGCCCTCATGAGCCCACAGACGGAGTTCTAAGAGAGGAGAGTCCAGAAGGATGGGGAGGCGTCTCAGCCAGGCCCCTACTGGTGACAACTCCCGGCCTCAGTCCCACATTTGAACAACGTCTGAAGGCTGGATAAACAAGGGTGGCTTGGGGGGTGGGGTCCTTTCCGGGACCCTCTTATGCCCATGGTCCAGCCTGCTCTGGACGCAGTCCTGTCCCTTGGCCATCAAACACCCACATTTAGCGTCCCTTACAGATGGACCTTCCAGCCTCTGTCTGAAGCCCTCCAGGGACATGGCAGCAGCTGACTTCACGGCTGGGCTGCACTAGAAACCTCCTTGTTAACATCCCAGCAAAGCATGCCATGAGGTGACTTGCAGGACGGGGGAAGCAGAGCCGGGAGCTCAGAGGGCACTTTAAGGATGAGGAAGCAGGGCCAGAGAGGCAGTGTGGTACAGGGGGCAGGGCACTGACTGGACCTGGGTTTACATTCTACCTCAAACACCTACTAATTGTGGGACCCTGGGTAAGTCCCTTCCTCTCCCTAAGCCTCAGTTTTCTCATCTGCAAAATGGGAGAATTAGAATCAATGGCCTACGAGGTCTCTTCAAGATCTAAGACCAGAGTTTGAATCCTGGCTCAGGCGTGTACTAGCTGGGTGACTCTGGTCAAGTTAATGACCTCTTCAGCCTCAGTCCCCTCATTTGTGAAATGCAGATTACCACAGCCCCTCCTTCACAGCGCTGCCCTTTACAAGCCTTCATCTGCTATAGAAATATTAGCTCCCCCCAATTCCGTACTACAGGGTCATAGATTTTTATAAAGGAGGAAACTGAGGCATGGAGAAGGAACTTTTCACACACTGTATAACAGCCACGCCAAAGTGATGACAGCAGGACAAATAACTCAAAATGGAACAGGGATAAATGTGAGGTATCCCTAGTCTAGGCAGGGTGAGAAATCGAGTCATCTGACCAAACCCAGGGGGTCGACCTGCAGACAAGAAAGCTTGTGCCACCCTGAGCTGGATCAGGATCTGGGAGGAGGCGAAGGGTCCCCTGGGAAGCTGCCCAGGTCAGGCCCCCACTGGACTGCTGCGGTCAGTGTGGGGCCCACGGTAGGAGTGAAGGACTTTGGGTCTAGATGCAGGAGGACCAGCCGAAGGGACCAGGGATGCTTAGGCTGGGGGGTGGGAGTGGTGGTGAGGATGTGGCATCTCCACACAAGAGAGATCACACTTATTTTGTGAGGTCAAGGGCAGAGCCGAGAACAAGGAGTGGAAGGGGCAGAGATGTGGACGTCAGCCTAGATTAGGTGTCTGTGAGTGGGATGAGCTGCCCCAGGACGCAGGGAGCTCTCTCTCGTTGGACGTCTCCATGGACAGGCCGCTAACCTAGTCAGCCATAACCTCACAGGGCTCCTTTCTACTCTGAAGTCCCATGGGTCTCTGAAGCAGCAGAAGCCAGGCTGAGATGTGCCATCTGCCTTCTTCCTCTGCCCCCGGGCGTCTCCCCCACATTGGAAGGTGGGCTCTGCAGGAATCCCTGGAGAGGACTCATCCTGCCCTCACCCCCTGCCCCGTATTGGTGATGCCACCCTTCCTTCAGCCTTTTCATTGTCTCCTATTTCCAATAAAATAAGTCACTAGTTTCTGTTGCTCTGACCTCTACTACATCTCGTCCCTGTTCCTGCCCGGGCCAGGCCCTGGTCACCACTCACCAGGGAGTCTCCTAACTGGTCTGCCTGCCTTAGGCTACTGCAGAGGTGGGGAACCTGCAGCCTCAAGGCCACGTGTGGCCCTCTAGGTCCTCAAGTGTGGCCCTCTGACTGAATCCAAACTTTATACAACGAACCCCCTTCATACGAGTACTTGTTCTGTAAAACGTGGACTCAGTCAAAAGGCCACACCCAAGGCCCTGGAAGGCCACATGTGGCCTTGAGGCTGTGGGTTCCCCACCCCTGGGCTAGTGTCTCACAGTCTGGCAGAGGGGATGGAAAGCTGTACCTGGAATCTGGATGAACTGGGTTCAAATCTCACCGAACACTGGCTAACTCAATGTCTCTGAGCCAATTTTGTCACCTGTAGATAAGGAGAATCCCTGCAGGCCCTGCTTTCCAGGGGAGCTCTGGGGTTTGATAATCTTTGTAAAATGTCTAGACAACCAGGGCCTTGGCGCTGGAAGGGAAATCCTCTTGTGCCAAGCCCTCCTTTCACAAATGAGAAAACCGAGGCCCCCAGATCTACAGCAGAGCCCAGACCCTCCCCCAGCCCTTACTCGGCACAGTGCTACAGAAGCACCAGCCACCACCACCCTCATTAACCTTGGCTCCAGCCCTCCCGGCTGCCTCTCAATAAAGCCTGGCCCTTGAGGCTCCCTGCCAGCGGGTGCCACCTCCCGTCGGGCCCCTCTCCCACGCTGGACTAGTGACCGCCCCCGGTGCAGACGCCCCACTTTTGTTCACGTTCCTAGGCCTGATACACCCCATCATTTCATACCGCCTCCTCCAGGAAGCCGACCCTGATTGCCACCAGTCCAGAATCCAGCCAGTACATGTGGCCATGCTTGCCCTTCCTGCACTTCAGAGAACGGGGCTCCCAAGTCCCTCACCAGCGGGCAGGCACTTGTCTCGTCTGCTCTATCCTGCACCCAGCCTGGGCCTAACAATACCTGCGCATCTCTGATTTGGAGCAGGGTCCTCCCTCAGCCGGCTCCCTCCCCGTCCCAGCCTCACCTCTTTGCGCCTCTGCTTCTCCTCCTCCAGGTGGCGGGCAAAGTCCTTGGCCAGCTTCCTCTCCTGCCGCTCCTTCATCTTGCGCTCCCAGGACGTTCGAAGCGGCTTGTCCTGGACCATCTGGGAAAACCTGGAGGCGGGGGGAGGGAGGGCAGGCCGCCCCAGTGAGAGCTCCGCAGGAGGACCCCAAACACCCGCGGGACGAACAGCACACCACGGAGTATTGCGGATGCAAAGACAGAGGTCCCTGCCCTCTGGGAGCTTACACTCCGGGTGTGACGCCCATGCCAAACACGTGAAGCGGCCAAAAGGTCACCTTTGAGGGGAAGGGAAGAAAACGCGCATTTACAGAGTGCCTACCATTTGCTTACTTACACCGACTCTCATCTGAGCCTCACGACAAGCCTGAGAGGTGGGTGCTATCGTGACCCCCTTTCTACAGTTGAGGAAGCCAAGGCAAAGGAGATGACGTGACTTTCCCAGGGTCACACAGCTGGTAAGAGAGCCCAAGGCTGTGTTCTTCCTGACTCTCGTCCTGCCTGACCTCTGACCCTACCACGCTGGAAGGGCCCTTTGACACCATCTCACCCCACCAAGGACGGGGAGCTCACTAGCTCAGGAGAAGCCCCTTCACTCTGAGGCGGTTCTACCCATTAGGAGGCTTTCCCTCACACTGGGCCAAAATCTGCCCTCCAGTCCTCACTCTGCTTTGTCCTCTCTCACAGGGCAGGCCAAAGAACCGGGGCAGAGGAGGCCGGAATGTGGGCAGAGAGCACTGGGGGCCCAGCCCTGCCACTTAGGAACTGTGTGACCCTGGGGAAGAGCCTACCCTCAGTTTCCTCACCCGTAAAATGAGGGTGTCAGTCTCCTTAGTCTCCAACATCCCTTTCAGCTCTAAATCCTCCAATTCAATTCACCAGACACAAAGTGCACACGGTGTATGGAGTGACAGGTAGTCTGGCCTTGTGGGTGGCACGTGGGCCACTCTGACCTGTCCTGGCTGTGCGTGACTGGCTAGGAAGCACCCAAGCTTCTCAGAGCCCAGAAAAGACTCGGAGGAGTTCCAGAGGAGGTGCAGGTCTACATCAGTGGACGGTCTCTACACAGGGATGAATGAAATCCCAGGTGTGGACCAAGACAGAATCGAAAGGCTCTGGGCTGGGTGCTGGGAATATAAAGACAAAATGAGATGAGGCGGCGGGTGGCCAGCAGCCAGAGCTCTGGGCCTGGCTTCAGACAGACCAAGGTCAGAGCTGGCCTCGGATTCTAGCTTGTGTGCCTGGATCACTTAGCCTCCGTTTGCCTGTTTCCTCACCTGTAAAATGGGGACCATGAAAATGGTAGCTCCCTGCCAGGCTGGTCTTGAGGATCAAACCCAGCATCTGTAAAGTGCTCGGCAGCACCTGGACCCTGGCACAGAGGGTACTCTATAAAGGCTTCTTCCCCTTTCTCCCTCTGCCAGTAGCCAGTTACAACTCGCACCTGAATATATAAATATATCTCATACACAGAAAGAATTTGGGGGTGGGGGAGATCATATAGGCTTCTCTGACCTTTTCTGTTTCTTCCCAGGCTTGGACCCTCTGCTCCCACCAGGCTGGTCACAGACCGGAAGGCTGAGAGCAGAGCTTAAAGACCTCGGGGCCCCTTCTTTTACAGAGGAGGCAACTGACGTTCAGTGTGATTTACATCCCTTCCTCCAGAGGAGGGCTTTCTGACTGCCCACAGCACCTCTGGCCCACAACAAACTCTTGGCACCTCACTATTATTATGGATAGTCTCTAATTACTGTCAAATTGATTCCCAAGCAAGTTTGTGCCCCAGGCAGCCTGGGAGCTGGGCACCGGGCAGTGGCTGCATTCGCAGGGGAGCCTCAGCTTCCCCTTCTGTCAGACCCCTGGCACCACTGCAGCTGTGACCTGTTCACCCCAGGAAGGCCAGCTCCAGCTTTTTCTCCCGGAGGCCTTGGCTCAAGAAAAAAAAAACCCTTCCCCCTTCCCCTACCTTTTCTTGTTGCGATCCTTCCACACTCGGCCAGACTTAGGCTTCCCTTTGGGAACTGCGGGGGCCTCCTTCTGCTTGGGCTTCTTGGGGGCTGGGGTGGGGGCAGGGGTGCCACCCCGCTTCTTGGTTTGGGGTGCCTGGGTCCCGGGCTGCGTCTCTGCAGCTCCGTCCTGGGGAAGCACTCCCGACTTGGGGGCCACTGGCTCAGGATGACCCAAGGGGCACTCTCTGCCAGGCTCTGGCTGTCCTCGATGGGACCCCGATTCCTTGTCTCTCAGACTTTGGGGGGACAGCGAGCTGGCGTCTGGGGGGGATCTGGAGTCCAGCTCCTGTGGAGCTTTGGGGCTGGGCTCCACCTGATCCCGGGGGCCCCGAGCCCTGAGCCCCATGACTCTTAGGAGACCCCACCCAGGGCTTCTTGGGGCTTTGCGAGGGTCTCAGGCCTGGCTCCCTTTCACCTCCAGCGCCCTTGGCCTGCTGATTCTGATGTCTCTTGGGGGACCCCCGACTAGGCTCTGAATGATTCCGAGGGGTGGACCCCAAGTCCTGTCTCTGAGGGCTCTTGGGGAACCCAGGGCAGGGCACTGGCTGATTCTGGGGGGACTCTGGACCCTGACGCTGGGGAGACCCCAAGTCCTCATGTTTGTTCTTGGGGGATCCCAGGCCAGGGCCTCTGGGGTTCTGGGGGGACTCCGGACCCGCTTCGCCCACTCCCGCCGCCGCTTCCGGCACCGGCTCTAACGCAGCTTCGGCCTTGGATCCCAGGAGGGCGCGCCGGGCCTTGCGGGCCCCCCGGGACGGGTCGCCGGGGTCGCGGGGCTCTCGGCCTCCAGCCCCTCCAGGCGCCGGCTTCTCCTTCGAGTCGTCTCCATCCCCTCGCGCAGGGCCCTGCGGCGCCCACCAGAACACTCTCCACGTGGAGCTGCCGGGTCCTCGGGCTGTCGGCGCTCCCCGTGACGTCATAAAACAGCGACCGGCCAATGAAGGGCCGGGAGGCGAGTTATCCGGTCGGCCATATTGGTGATGGGCAAAAATCCCCCAGAGGCCGAATTTTCCAGGAGCATGCGCTCTGCCGCCACTCCCTGAGCAGCTCATTTGCGCTTGCGTCGATCCCACTGCGGACGACTTTCCTGGACCCGGAATGTGCCGGGCGACCACTCCCAAGAGGGCGGAGTTTGTCGTCCCGGGGAACGGTGCTTAGAGATCACCTAGTTCAAAGGCCTCATTTTACCGAGGGGGGCGGGGCGGGGGAACTGAAGCCCAGACCGCGGGCCAACACGCATTGTTCGAGTGCCTGCTGTGTGCTACATAAAACATTTATCTGGGCGAGGCTTTGCGGATACCAAGCAAGAGGGATCGGGGGCCTGCCCTCCAGGAGCTTACATTCTATCAGGAGGTGGGAAACTAGGCTTACCTAAAAATGAAGTATGCCTAAGGGGGAGCTCGGGAGTGTGGGGAAGAATCAGGAAAAGCATCCCAGGGCTCTACAGCCTAACTTTGAAGGGAACTAGAGGCTTAGGCAGAAGTGGAGAGGGAGCGCAGTGCAGGCACGGCGGGGGGCCAGTGCAAAGACCTGGAGGTGGGAGGTAGAGTATATGGAGCATGAACAAATTAGGGGGAAAGGAAGAAGGGGGCAGGAGCAGAGAAAACAAACTCCACCCCCTCAACCCAGCCCTGGACAGAGCACGCCCCCTTTGTGCATCACCGCCGTTTCTCGTTTGCACCCTTCCCTTCTAGGAGAGCCATCCCTTAGAATAAAGAATGTACAGGAAGGAAGTTCCAAGGTCAGCAGAACTAACCAGGTCACCAAAAAACGCCCGAGCGTGTCTGCAGTGCCCACACCTGTGGCCCCCGCCTCTGCAAAGAAGGGAAGTGGGTGTCTTCTGCCATCTCTTCCCCGCCGCGTTTGGTCATTAGAATTTTATGGTAATGACTACAGAGTATAATGAAAATATTTTCAAACGCTCCTGTGCTATGGTCAGAAGAGTAGTGAGGCTGGAAGTCAGGAGACCTGGGTTTACTTTTATGGCTTCTGCCCTTTTTTTTTATGCTGGAATTTCACTTTCAGTGGTGATGACTTTTTTTTTTTTTGCTAGGCAATGGGGTTAAGTGACTTGCCCAGGGTCACATAGTTAGTGAGTGTTATCTGCCTGAGGCAGGATTTGAACTCAAAACCTCTTGACCCCAGGGCTGGTGCTCTATCCACTGTATGACTTTTATTTTAAAAAAATAATAATAATTTTACCTTTTTATTATTCTGAACCTGATAAACACAATAAATCTGGATATTTCCACAAACAGAAAACAGGAAGAAATCATTGTGTATTGCAGTCACGTATAGTCGGTTGGTGGTAATCCTTTGTCCTCAAAGAGGACAGGAATGGCATCACTATGCCGGAGGCAAGGCATCGGGTGTCCACCTGGGATTGATCAGGCCAGTTCAAGCTGGGAAGGCCCTGCCGCCAGTAGTCCGTGTGAACATCTGGAGTGGAGATGTCCCCAAATCTGCACTTCTCTTGTTTCTTTTAAGCTACTGCGATTGGGCTTCGCTCATAGAGCGCAGCTCCTTCTTTGGTGTGGGCCCCGCACGCCGGATGGGCCAGCATCTCCAGTGTCTCGAAGGTGATTCCAAAGTTCTTCACACGGACCTGGAGACTTTCCTTGCTTTGCTTCTTCCGAGCAGAGTGCTTGCCTTGCGGGACCTCTCCATAAAATAGTCTTTTAGGCAAATGTACCTTCGGCTTTTGAACAACATGGTCAGTCCATCGGAGACACTTGTACCCTCTGCGGTAGAGTCTGAATGACTGCAGTTCAGCTCAAGAAAGGACCTGGTATCTTGCCTTACGAGGTGATCTTCAGAATCTTCCTAAGACAATTTAAATGGAAGAGATTCCGTTTCCTGGCTTGGTGCTGGTAGACTGTCCAGGTTTCACAGGCATACAACAATGAGGTCGGCACAACAGCTCTGTAGACCTTCGGTTTGGTAGGCAGTCTAATACCTCTTCCTTCTCACGCTTTCCTTCAGAGCCTCCCAAACACTGAGCTAGCTCTGGAAATTCGGGCATCAGCTTCATTTCTATGTGGAAATCCCTGGAAAATATACTCCCGGGGCATCTAGGTGGCCCAGTGGATAGAGCACCAGCCCTGAAGTCAGGAGGACCCGAGTTCAAATGTGGCCTCAGACCAAACACTTGACACTTACTAGCTGTATGACCCTGGGCAAGTCACTGAACCCCAATTGCCCCCCCCAAAAAAAGAAAGAAAATACTCCCCAAGGTAAGTAAACTTATCCATATTTCTTCACTTGCTGTAACCTGTGATTCCATGTATGGTGCTGGCTAGTGGAGAACCTATGTTTTCTTAGTGTTAATTGTTAGGCCAAAATTAGCAATATATACATGTACATATACAAATACATACATATATATGTATATTATACATATATATATACATATTTAATGACTGTCTTTTTTTTTGCCTTTTTTCCAGCATCATTATTACTACCCACCCTTTCTCTGATCATTGCAATGAATTCTTAAGTTAGTTTTCTTTACAATGTTGTAGTTGCTGTGTGAATTGTTCTCCTGGTTCTGCCCACATCACTCTGCATCAATTCATTTAAATCTTTCCAGGTTTCTCTGAATCCAACCCTTTCTTCATTTCTTAGGCTACAATAATGGACCAATATATTAATATCCTGTAATTTGCTCAGCCACTCCGTAGTTAATGAGGAGAAGCCACAGTTCCCCATCTGGAAATTCCGTAGTTTCCTGTTCTTCATTACAATGAAAAGTGCTGCTTAGGAATGTTTCTATGCCCCTGGGCCCCTTTCCTCTTTCTTTGACCTTTTAGGGGTATTTGCCTAACAGTATCAAACAGGCATACTCAGTGCCAATCTTGGAGTCCCTTGCAGGGTTTAAAACCTCTATTTTCCTTGTGGTTAAGAGTAGGCCACTTCGGCTAGAATGTAGAGTTTGTGAAGGGGAAGAAATGTGGAATAGCTCTGGAAATATAGATTAGAGCCAGATGGTGAAGAGCTGTAAATGCCAAAGAGAGGAGTTTGTATCTGGTCCCAGAGGCACTAGGGAGCCATTGGGGCTTCTTGATTAGGGGGAGAGATTTGGGCAGAGCTGTGCATTAGGAACATCAGGCTATGAGTGAAGTGAGCAGAACCAGGAAAACGTTGTGCACAATAACAGCCATGTTGTGCGATGACTAATATTGATAGACTTAACCCTTTCCAGCAATGAAAGGATCTAAGACATCTCCAAAGGCCTCGTGATGGAAAATGCTCTCCACAGCCAAAGAAAGAACTATGGAGTTTGAATGCAGATGGAAGCAGACTATTTGCTATTTTTTTCTCTTCTGTTGAGTTTTGTTTCCTCTTTCTGGTGGTTCCTCCTGTTGGTTCTACTTCTTACTTACAACATCACTAATGTGAAAACATGTTTAATAGCAGTGTATATGTATAGCCTGTATCAGATTGTGCGCCATCTTGGGGAGGGTGGTGGAGAGGAAGGGGGAGAAAAATTTTAAACTCAAAACCATATGGAAGTGATTGTTGATAAATCAAAATAAATTAATTAAAAAAAGAATATCAGGGTGGCAATTGTTTGGGTTAGGAGGATGAGCTGGGGAAGGGAAAAACATGGTCGGTAGCAGAACTGGAATTAGAATCCAGGTTCTTTGACTAGTGCTTTTTTTGGTTTAGTGCTATGTTTTGTTTTTCTGTTTTTCTTTGAAGTCCACTTTGTTTAATATTCTACAAAATGTGTGGGTAGAACCTGAAATGAAATGCATGTGAAATGGAAGACTGGTGAACAGGCACGGTGTGCTCAGTGTGTGGGATTCCCCACGTTGTAGAATGGATCATACACAGACATTGTGAAATTGGTTCTGGTCTACTAATCACATGAAGAAGAGAGAATTTTGTGCAGTCAGAATCAGAGTTCATTCGCAAGGCACTACCTGGCCAAAATGAATGATTCCAGCCTAGCTGCTGCTCTTTCTTTTAGGTGAAGCTTCTTTAGTAACTTCCCCCACTCCACCCCCAGACTCTTTCTCCCAAACTACTTGTATTTAGCTACTTTTTATGTATTTATTAACTTTGTGTTTATGCTGCATGTATTTCTGTATGTACTCTCTCCCTCTTCCTCTCTCCCTCTTTCTCTCTTTCTTTACCCCCCTTGCCCTCATTAGGATGTAAGCTCCTGGCGGGTAGGGATTGTGTTACTTTTTGAACTTGTGTCTCTACTACCTAGTACGGTGCCTGGCACTGCGTAGACACTTAATATAGGTGTTATGGATGAGCTGGCTCATAAGAGCTGATTGTTAAATTTTCAGTACCAGCATTTACACTTTGATGATTGACAAATGCCACAAATCAGGGCTTAATTTATTATTTTGCTGTTTGTCTAGAATTAAAATGATGGGAAAATGTTATGAAGCATTTTAACTTAAAAAATAAGAAAAATAAAGCTTTTTTGGGGTTTGGTTTGTAGAAAATGTGGTTGGGGATATTGCTTCTGCATATCACTCATCAGGGTGCTGGGTAGCTGCTGGGGTATTGAAAGCTGTGGACTGTTGACAAGGAAATGTGGGGAGTGGGAGATGTAATTAGGGGCAAAGACTCAGGTGGAGAAATTAGGCGCTGGGGACAGGCTGTGAACCCTGCTTTACCCAGCCAATGGGGAAACGGGGGAGGGCATTGCAATTGGGGAAGCCTTGCTTTCCCTTCTGTAAGGTGTGCCCACACGTGGGACACCCGGCCTTGCTAGGCCCTTAATAAAAAGTTTTTCTGGTTCACCAATGGTTTCTTGGAACTTTTGTGGGAGGATAGAGTCCTTTGTAGAAATATAGCTAACTTTGGGGCATAAAATGAAGACACAGATAAAGGCAGCTAGATGGCACAGTGGATAGAGCCCGTGAGTCTGGAGTCAGGAAGACTCATCTTCCTGAGTTTGAATCCGGCCTCTGATACTTGCTAGCTGTGTGACCCTGGGCAAGTC